GTGTGTGTGCATATGCATATGCATATATGTATGTATGTTACATTATGTCATGCCCCCATGTACAGAGTTTTAAATGATTTCCACACATCCCTCCTGGGGAGGGGGGGAAATTTCTCTATTTTTATCCAGTGCATATCCTGTGTGATATTTTCAGCTACATTGACCATCAGGAGGCACCATGTTACCTGTTTCATCCTTATTGGGAATCATCAGAAGTGGGTAGCCAGATGTTATTCTATAACTCCCTCTTGGGGTTGAAACTGGCTCCCCATCCTTAGCCCAAAGTGACATTCTGATGGAGCCATTGGGACATTTCCTATTGCCCTATTTGCCATCTAGCTACCTTTGGGGCTCAGTGACATTCAAATTCCTTCCATTCTGTTTGGTTGACAAAGTATTCTATGTACAGTATGTAGGTGTCTTTCCACATGTAAAATTCAACAGAGACCCATGCCCTCAAAGTTACATCTCTGTCTCTCTCTCCCACCACATTCCTATGGACATCCACAAAGGGATAATTGAATATGAGCAAGCCCTTATCAGAACGTGCTTCAGATACTTAAGAACTGTCACCTGCAGAAAGACCCTGATCATGGTGAGCATCAACCCAAAAGCAGTTGCTCATATTCAGTTATCTCTTGGCAGACAGGTACAGCATCAAGGACATGACTCCATTTCCTGGTTTACATGTAGAATGTGCAAAACCATGCTTCAAAGATCCCCTTATCATTCAGTTCAAACAGATTCCCTCATATTCTATTGTGGCTCCTCTATTTTCTTCTTGTAACATTTAACATCTTTACCTAAATCTTGGCAGAGTTTCAGTTTCTTATCAACATCATAATTCTGGGTCGTCGCACACCAGAACTTCCCATCTCTCCGCCCATCTGCAGTACAATTTCTGTAAAGCTTTCCCTGATAGATGAATGGGAAAATGCATGGTGGACTTTCCATGATCTCACCAGGCCCTTATATTTAATTGTACAAAAGAAATATATGTCAAAGAGGAAGGAAATTACACAGAATTATCCTTGCAGCAAAGTAACAGCTGACCCAAGCATTCAACCATCTGAAGGAAGAAGAATGTATACTGAAGCACACAGTTATTACTTCCATCCAGTGTATTTATTCAGTGCCTGGAAGAGAGATCACACACAGTTATCCTGCTTGGACTTATTTCCGTTTATTGAAAGGTTCGGATAGTTGTTTGAATGCTTAGTTCACATGTTAGAGATCCTATACTGTACATATAGAGAGGAATAACTATTTGTTAGACCTTTGCTGAGCAATAGGCAGAATCTCTATCCCACACACTCAATAAATACATCACGCATGTGTGAACAGGGGTTCAGTTAGTCCTACTGTGTGCTTCTCTCTCTCCAATCCCTATAATGTCTCGTTTAATATAAGATTTGTTCAGTATCTTTTTGCCTGATATTTCCTCAGTTCTATCTAACATAATTCACTTTTTGGTTATTGTGAAATTCACAGCAAGCAGGTGATAGCCCAATCATTATTACACAACACAATATTCTGGAACAACAGTATCCATAACATACCAGGAAGTTGTAAAAATGACTACACATGAGAAATAAAAATTATATAAGTCACAATATCTGATGTAAGGATGCAACTCATGACACTGACATGATGGTAATATTACACATGTGTTGTCATCCCCCCTCCACTATACAAATGTTGATGTCCTGAAATAATGGAAGAAGGATCATGAAGTGCCACCAAGTTTATATTTCATGTACTAATTCCTTTTTGAGCAACACAAAAATGATTGGAGTTATTTCCCATGAGTATTTCTGAATATTTCATTGTGCACATTCTCCATTGCTTGCAGAACATGCTTTGTGCTGTGAAGAAAAGGAAGATACACACCTACAAGTTTTTTTTTAAATGTCTCTTTTCCCTAGAGAATATTCAGTAAAATGGCCATTTTCATTCTGCACTACAAATTCTCCAGTGATGGTCAGAAAATAGCTCGTCAGTTCGTAAAATCTGAGTTATCTCAGAACATTCTAGAAGTTTAAACAATCCCTCAGAAATAGTATTATGAAGGTAATATCTGATTTTAATAGAAAAATGGTGTGTGTGTGTATGCAGACTATTCTGTAATTTATGTCCAATATCACACATGCACTCAGTTGGGGAAAAAGTGTTTACCTCTGAGGATATATTGGGGTGTTCAGTATTGTTGCATTGGACATTAAAATTGGACATGACCTTGCTATAAAACTGGGGCATCTTCATATTTCAGCACAGGGAAATGCTAACATCAGTGTTTAATTTGACCCTCCTGAAATTCATCTGCAGAAAAGGTCCTACATCTGCAGCCATTCCTCCTACCTGAAAGCTCACAGTATGTCCATTGCAGGTCTGAATTATAGTTTTGGGTGAGGGAGCACCAGGGTGACTTGCCAAACATCCCATCTGTTGTGCACATGAAGTAGAACTTTTGGTTGTACAAAAAAGGAAAGACACACATTTCTTTGGGATCTGCATCTAGTCCTGAGCAGAATATATGAGATAAAGTTCATAAGACCCAGGTCATTAGGTTCAACTGATGTCTTTTTTCCCAAAATGATTTACATTGTGTACATGGTTAATTTTATGTTTATGGATTCAAACCTCACATTTGAACTGCATTAGAAATGTTTTGATAGCTGAGTTGTACATTGTGAAGATAAACTTTAAATAAGAAAGCAAAGCAGCCATTCATGTACAAGGGGAGGAGTCAGCAACTGTATATGTTCCTAGCTGCTATGATGTTAACTGAGCTAAATGTGTTGAGTATATGTAGAAATAACTACAGGTATGGCATCTGAATCTACTGCAAGTTACCAGATACCAGTTATGTTCTTTTTCTCCAAGGATAACCTCACAGGGCAATGGTAAAGGCTCAAAGTATACACTGGGACCTAGTAGTCTTAAAGCAAGCATGTGGTTGCCAAGCATTACGGTGGATTCCCCAGATCTTGGTAGATCTGTTTCAGCCAAAAGCATCAATTTGAAGGCAGGGCCAGCCCTATCGTTAAGCAGTATGAAATAGTTGTCTTGGGGGCAAATGTTCAGTAGTATGTAAGGAACAACAGCAATGAACTTTAGCCATACCCCTTCTTTGGAAGACAGAGCTGTTTATCCCAGGTTATCTGCCCTGTAAGTCCTACATGAGGGATGGACATATGAAATCCCATAGCCAAAGGTGGGCCTCAAGTCCCTTGTTTGTGACTATTCAGACCCAACTCTGATTATAGGTGCTAAAAATTGATGGCATCATTTCCTACCATTTGTAGGTAGTATGATTCAAAACCTTTAGTACAACCCCTAAAATAGACTTAAAATCACTATTAAAAAGCTAAGACATTCATAAATTCCCCATCATAAAAGGAAGAAGACTAGAAAAACCTGGCCTTACCTAGTTTGCACCCTTATCATATCCATTGCTGTTCATGGCCACCTAATAAGTTTGTGGTCAGCCCTAGGACATCAAAAGGATATCCATACTTGCCCTAAGCTGTTCTACTGTCCTCAGCTAAGAAACAGATGATTTCTCTTCACCACTGGTAAAATGTGAACTAGTGCTGCTGCTGCCAGGACTCAAAGAGCCTTCAGCAATATATTTTCTTGGGGGCCATAATGCATACAGACATACATAATTGGGGTACTCTTCCCTGGTTTCTCTGTCCTACTCCCATTCACCCTAGAGAAAAAAAAGCATGGTTTAACTCAAGAAATACTGCAATATAATTTTGCAATTCAAAGCAAAATGATGTCATTTCATTCATTATTATATAAGAAATCCTAGGAAAAGTTCCTATAAAAGTATCATGTTCATTGACATATACTAGATTAAAGAGAGGCTTCTGCCGGGGGTGGACCACATACAGAATGCCACAAACTATTTCTGTTTAAGAGGGTGAAAATGTAGCCCTGGACCTGCAGGCTGGGCACTTCTGTCCCTGCAATGCAAATATTTTATCTGTTTTAATCCTACCTGTGATATTACAGGACACCCATGAATTATCCAAATCAAAGTTGCTTGTGGTAGCACACCACAGCTTCCCATCACTCATGCCCTCTGCTGTACATATGCTATAGGAGATGCCTCTGTAGATGAATGGGAATACACAAAGTGGATTCTCTACCACTAGATCAGGTTCTGGATCTTAAAAGAAAAATGTGAGAGGAAGTGGGTACCTTTCACAGGTAAGTTATGTTCAGAGTGGTAAATACATGTGAAAATAAAACAGAATAGAAAGTATTGATTTGCTTACATCCTCACAATGATGTTGAGCATATAACAAAACAGTCAGGATCTATCTTCTGCAGTTTCCCTCCTAAATGAATTTGTGACAAAAGGTCAATTTGCCTTTACAGAACCTACAGGATCTATACACTTCTTATAGATCTATAGATTTCCTAGGACCTATAGATTTCCAGACATGCTAGCACAGCTAAGGCTCCATCAAACTTCGATAAGTCCTCTGTTTCAGCTAATACCACCTTTTCCCACAGTCCATGGAACAGTCTTCACATAATACTGCTCGATTATTCTGCACAATTCTGTATTAGTTAAACCATCTTCAGTTATAAAAACAAGTTTTTGTTAAATACTGCATTGTTTGTCCATATTACAACTTTTATGGCCCTATATTTCAAAGTGAAGGACTAGTTTATATAAAAATTAACATGCACTCATTTCTTATCTCTGCATATTTGTCATGAGGGTTGTATACTACAAATAAGAAACAAATGCACATTGACAATGCCATACTGTCCGCATACACACACACCAAGTTCCTGTCAAGCAGTTTCTATTTCATTTAATACTTGGTAGGATACTTTTTTAAAGACCAGCCTTCATTCCCTGATCTACCTGGGCCCGCACCTTGAAAATCAACAAAACAAAGTATTCATTTTTCTTCCTACCTGTGACATCACAATATTGCCATTTCTTATCTTTGTCATAGTTGCTACTTGTGGCACACCAGAGTTTCCCATTATCCATGCCCTCATCAATACATGCACTGTAAGACTTGCCCTCGAAGATGAATGGGAAGACACAAGTTGGACCATCTAGCTGTAGATCTGCTCCTGAATGTTAAAATAAAAAGCAAATGGAGAAAGATATATGGACTTCCCAGAAGAGAAGCAGATGTTATTGTACTTGGCCATCAAATGCCAAAGTATGGTATATTTTGATGGCAAAATATGGCATTTGCAGACATCCAGCCATACACAACATCTTGGGAAGTTGATTTGGGGGATGGGACAGTGGTGTCCAAACTTTTCTTTGTCAGGAGCAGTTCAACAGAACCTATCACCCAGGATTCACTACTGCTTCTATTCTGGGAACTTCAAATATACGTCTGAATTCAAGAACCATTAAGGAGGCAGTGACAGGGGCAAATGAGACCTTCTCACTCTGTCAATGCCTCTTTAAATCAAATGTATATTGTTCTGGAACCACACAGCTATTGGAACACATGACTATCATATGAGACCAGGAAAAGGTGCAGCTTCTTTTAAGAACTGCTAACAGATGTGGCAAGCATGCCCACATCCTCTCTGAAGCACCTTTTCCATTTCAGATCTGAATACAAGAGCCCCCATCAATTTCCTTCTGGCAGGCCTGAGCCCCTGCATCAGAGTACCATCAACAGGTCTTCATGTTATCACCACCTCTTTCCTTACTGAGCAGGTAGCAGTAAGCATGTCTCTGTCATTGGAGCCAAGCAAGCTGGCAGCATATTCCTGCATTAAATCTAATAAGTTAAAATATCTCCCTGAGCAAGCAGATGTCACCCATATTGTTTTATTATTTACCGGTTCAAGACAACTTCTTTCCTCAAAGGCTATTTGAGGAAAGGGTTCTATTTATTTCCCCTCTCCCTTTTACTCTTTTACCCGATTCCTCTGGACAGAACTTCCATTTCTTGTCAAGATCATAGTTGACAGCGGTGGCCCACCAGTGTTTCCCATCACTCCGCCCCTCTGCAGTGCAGCGGAAATAAAGCTTGCCATCATGGACAAATGGGAAGACACAAGGTAGATCCTCCACCTTCTCTTTAGGCTCTGATGTTTAATAGTTAAAAGAGGGGAAAATATGGAGAAGAGCAGTTGCCCAAGGATAACTTTGCAACAGAAAATCTACCACCTAAATTGATGCACACTGAAGCCAGAACTTCAAGAAGTTGCTTTCAGTTCTTGTCATTTTCTTTCCTTTGAGTGCAGTATAACTGAATGTGTAAAGTAATATCTTGATACTGAATCTTCACACATGGTTCCATCTGACTGGTAGAGAAAAATGCTCTGAGCAAGGAGATAATTGTCAGAAGAAAGGATGAAAGGAATATGGAATAACCACTATAGTACATTGTATATAAAGGCTTTGCAGAAATTCTCACCACCCTTCTTTTGCCAGATGCTAGCTAGGTGGTAATAGATTGGATGGATGGATGGATGGATGGATGGATGGATGGATGATAGATCATAGATAGATAGATAGATAGATAGATAGATAGATAGATAGATAGATAGATAGATAGATAGATAGATAGACAGACAGACAGACAGACAGATAGATAGATAGATAGATAGATGTAGAGATAGGTTGAGACAGGTTGAGATAGAGAGATGATAGAGAGATAGAAATAGAAATAGATAGATTTATGTTCTGTATAGCAGGGAGAATCTTATTTATTTCAGTTCACACCCAATCTCTCCTAGGTTTTGTGATTAATCTAGCCCCAGGGTATAAGCGGACCCTAGACCCCAGTGGCTAATTTCTCTCCAGTTGTGAGAGTGTTCAGGCACTGAGCTCTCTGCCCAGAGTGCAGCAACTGAGGGTGGGCTGCAGAAAGGAAAGAAGAGGGTCACATAGCCACTTCTGTCCCACCATTACCACAGCAGCAACAGGGCTTAGCCCTGCATAAGTCTCCCCTCCCTTAGCTAACAGTCAAACTATTTCTTCTCCCCTTCTGCTCAACCAGAATGATTGAATGGGCATAACAGTATCTGTAATACATTGTTAGACTCAGCGGAAACTTCCTTTCTCTCTCCCATTCAAAATACAGCCACAAACGGCACCCAGCGCTCATGGCCCCTCCCTTTGGACAACCTCCAACTCAGCTTCCTGAAAGTTTTTCTCTTATACCATTAGCTAGGCTGAAACATTGAAACTACCATAAGGTGCTAGAGTTTTCTGATCCTCTGTGCTGCCAGCTAGTTGCCACTCAAATGTTTGCAGCTCAAAGATGGCATGCCTATCCTCTCTCCCTTTATCCCTTTCACAAAGAGGAGGGAGGAGAAAAGTGTCCAGCAGTGATTGTCAGCAAAGCTGCCAGACTTCAAAGAGCTCTATTTCCAGTGCATGCAGATGCAACAACGGCCCTGGAACAGCAGCAGAGGAAACAGAGGATAGCAGTGGTGGCAACTCTTCCCTAACTTGATCTCTCCATCCTTCCCATTGGAACCTCATGCTTGGATGACCATATTTGGGCTGCAAAAATCAGGACAATATAGTAGCAAGAGATACCAACAACTCTAATTGGTTGCTGCCATCTAGTAGTTACCAGGTTTTTCCAGCTCCGATACGGTAACTTACTCCACACAGTCAAGTTTGGTGAAGGCTGGGGACAAACTGTGGGCCTCAAGGAGGAGGCTAGGAGGTCCCCTTTGCCTACAGTGGTTACCTCCCCTATCTTCACTATGTTTATATCACTAACTAGTTCTTTTTTCTAGTTGAGTATCTTTCTCCCTGTCCTTAGGCTTTGAGCTAAACAAGGCATTCTCTCTTTCCCACTGTACTCCCATCCTTACTTATAACTAGAGGAAACAAATGCTCATATAGGCAGTCCTTGCTTAACAACCACTATTGAGACTGCCAACTCCACCACTAAGTGACATGGTCATTAAGGAAAACATCATCTGGACTTACGATGTCACTTCCACTGCAGTTGTTAAGCAAATCACTTGCGGTCATTAAGCAAGACATCATGTGACCATGACTTGTGATTTTACTGCCAGCTTCTCCATTGATTCTGCTTGTCAGAAGCCAACTGTGAGGTGCGCAAATGGCAATCACATGACCACTGGGATGCTGTGATGGTCATAAATGTGATGACCAGTAGTAAAGTTATTTTTTCAGCACCATCATAACTTTGAACGGTCACTAAACAGGGCAGTTGTTAAGTGAGGTCTACCTGTATAGCACCTGTAGCTGAAGAATTCACAGGACTTGCTCTATAGGGGCATGGAAGAGTTAGTTTTATTCACATAAAACCTGATACTCACTTCAAATAGTTACTGGCCATCCAACTATGGGAAATATTTAAGACAAAAGTCAACATAAGAATCAATGTTGCAAACACCACATAAATAGCAAGCCTGTTTTCTCATGGTCCTTTGTCCAAAGTAACCATTCATAATTATTTCCCGATATCAAATTTAAAAAATCTGTCTGGTACAGAAAGGTATGACTGCTTCAGACTACTTATTTTTTTTTAGATCCTGTCTTAATACCCTCCTCGTGCTCCAGCCCCCACCATCTGCCATTCTATATTCTTTTAAATAACCTTTCCCTCTCACTCTACACAAGGAAAAGGACCATAAATCCTTTGCATGCCACCATCCTACCTGAAGGTTCACAATAGGTCCATTGCAAGTCAACATCATAGTTCTTAGTAAGGGAACACCATGGCTTCTTGTTAGAAATTCCATCTGTTGTGCATGATGAATAAGATGTACGGTTGAAGATGAAAGGAAAAACACAGGGCCCTTTAGGATTGGCATCTAATCCTGTGCAGAAATGAAGATTAGTTTCCTCTTACAAGCATAGATGGACAAAGACAAGAAAATGTCCTCTTTCTTTTAAAGGGGAGTGCAAATTTCATCTAGCCGGTGTTCCTTAATTTATTTTTAAAATATATGTTTTAAAAGAAAAAAATATTTTAAAACATTTTAAAGCATACACATTGTTTTCCCCTTCCACCACAAAAAAAGGAATTCAAGGCAGTTAAAATATTCTTTCCAAAAAGAAATATATATTGCATCTACCCTTTCTAAAAGAGATCAAATAATGCCCAATATTAACATTGAAAACAGCAGCAACAAAGAGTTTCTGGAGAAAGGACTGGAAACTGGAAGAGAATTAACCCAGTTAATTAATTAATTAACAAATGAGCATTCAATCAAAACCTTTTGCGAATAGTCACGCTTTCCCACAGTGTTATGGCTTGACAAATTTCATTGGGCAAAGTATTCCACGAGGTAGGCATCACCATAAAAAATAAAATCCCCCCCCCCCCAAGTTTACAACA